GCGTCTGCGGCTCTGTTACTGACCTGGCGTGCGGGAGACCCGCTTTTCCCTGCTGTCCTCAGCTGGGGTTGGGGTGAAGGGTGCTCCTTCCCTTGTTGGTGCTGTTACAGGAGGGGTCTAGAAGCCAGGCTGGGGCAGGGTGCCTCCATTCCTCCTGTTGAAGCCAGGCCAGTGTGTTGGGCAGCAGGGCTGAAGCTTCACAGAGCTACAGGGATGAGGAGCGCATGTGCCCGCGAGCTGGCAGAGCACTCGTAAGGAAAAGGGTTTCCAGGGCTCGTGCCAAGTACTGATTCTGTGTATTACTCGGCAGGATTTGAGGCTCCCTCCTCTTCCTGGTGTTGCCTGTTGACCAGGCAGCACCTGCCTTGCTGGGTCGAGCTCTCTGAATCCCTGAATGCGGGTCCTGGCTCCCCTGTGCATAAGGCTGACCTAGGTGCCAAAATCGGGACTCGGAACGCCAAGCAGCAGCAACCGCCGCTTTGAGTGCGGGTGGCCTGGGGCTGCCATCCCATTGCCGGCCCCAACGAGGCCACACGTGTAGTGTGATACCCTCTGGCATAGCACTTGTCACATGGGGATGGTGTCTGCCAAGTTTCTCTTCAAACTGGGGGGTGCAGGGAGGGCACCTCCGGCAGCTGCCGGCTGGTACAACTACAGACCAGGCTGCCGGTGTGGCGCAGCCGTTCACCTGGCTGCGACATCCCTGTGGTGTACGAGGTGGGGGCTATCGGCCAAAAATGGTGCTCAGAGGTAGGAGACGAATGGAAGGGAAACGGGATTGCTGTTCACCTTACCCAAAAGGTAAGGGCCCTGGCCCGGATACCCTGCTGCAGGCCCCTGGTCTGCCTGCAGCATTGCAGCCCTTGTCTTTGCTTCAAAGTCCTGGAAATAAAGTCTATCGCTGCTTGGCACCCAAGATCCTAGGAGTTCATCTTCCCTGTGCATTACTGGATGACAGAAGAAACCTTGAACTCTGCACCCTGTTCTCCTGAAGGTTAACGAATAGTTTAAATTCTTCCGCTGCCCTTACTGTGCTGAGGCACCACCCTTGCTGAGAGGAAGGCTTTTTTTTTAATTAAGCACCTTGAATAGTAATTGCTGAGCTGGCGTTCCCTGTTGCAACATCGCACCAAGAGAATCGTGTCCACGTTCACCACCCACAGCTAAAGTGCAAGCTCAGGAGTCCGCGTGTTCCTCTGCGTACGCCAGCACCGGCGGCAGGCGTTACCCCAGCAAGTTACAGGTCATTTAACTTGGACTGTAAGGATCTCGGAACGGTGACCTTGTACTTGCCTCACTGCCACAGACACGTTAAGCGTTGCAAAAACAGCGAACGGGTTTTGTGTTTGGTGTCTCGGTGCTCGGGTTGCTGGTCTGGCCCCTCTTCTGTGGAACGATTCAGCCCGTGCTGTGACGGTTTCTGCGCTTTGGGGACAAAGAACTTGTGCAGTTCATCAGCCATCTTAAACTGGAGTCTTCCTGCAGGAGTCCCCCTTCAGCCACGGACTCCCAAGCTGCCTACAACAGACCTGAAAGCGTTCCATTTACAGCCCAGGCCCTCTTTCATCCAGCCTTCCCCGGGTGCCCAAACAAACTTCTTCCTTCCTGAGACGTTACTGACTTTAAAAGCTGTCGGACCCGTGCTGCAGCTGGGCCGTAGCACGTCCCGTGCAGGTTAGGCTATGCCTGACTTCCCGTGAACAGCCGGATACCCCGTCACCCCAGGGCTGAGGAGATTCAGACCTTTCCCCGGCCTTGTTTGCAGCTTGGCAGGCGCGTGGCTGAACTTCGACTTCATCCTGCTGGGAACAGGTGTAAGCTGCTCCGAGCTTCAGGGTAGACTTTTGGCTCCAGGTGCATCGCACCTAGCTTGTCCCGTTCAACACCCTCCCTCTGATTCAGATCAAGCAACGAGCAGCCTAAGCCTCTTGCGAACGGCTTCTTGGAGCAGAGTAACTCCCCGTTATTCCTTTGGAGAGCCCTGCATGAGCCATGTTCATCCCCGTTCCCACCGCTTGGCCAGCGCTCTGCCCGGAGGGAAGCGCAGGGGTGTGCGTTTGGGGACAGAGCTGTGCCGAGCATGGGGCTGGTGGCCATACGCAGCTGCTGACGGCATCCCTGGGGCAGCAGAAAGCACCACGTGCTTCTCTCCAGTTGCAGCACTTGACTATGGGTTGTACCTACCCCAAAAATAGGCGAGGAGCTCCCTGTGGAGCTTTCATTAAAGAGTCCATTGATTTCTTTGGGTTTCTGCATGGCTGCCTGGCAGCTCTGGTAGCATGTGAGCCAGACCCTTCAGTAGCCAGGACAGAGCATGCTTTCGTTCCTGCTCCCCATCCCCTCGCAGCTGTGTCGGGGTCCTGCTCGGGGCGTTTCATGTTTGGGCCTGCTTCCCTCACTATTAAATGGCATTTCTTCTACTTCAGCTGTACTTGGCTTCTTGACGAGAATTGTAAACTAATAAAGAGTGTAGCAACTGAAAGGCTTTAAACACAGTTCCCCTAGAAAGACATTCATGCATGTGAGCTTGGGCTCCCATCTCAGTTTGAGGAACTCCTGGTACTTTAACTAAAAGGATGGAGGTGGGGGGAAGAGTCCTACACCAAATTTAAATTCCAATTTATGACTTAGTACTCTTCAGAGACACTATTCCCCTGGCTTACACATACGAACCATACATTAAAGCAAGTGTTTTTTTTAGTGTCTTTAGAAGTACCGAATTTCCCAAAGACAAGGACATGAGGCTCCTGCTGCAGGGTCTGTCTCTTCTTTTTTACTCCTTCTGAGTATGTTTATTGAACTGTTAGGGCTTCTGTCTTCCTGCCTTCCCCTCTGGCCAGGTCTGTCACTATTGTGTGTCTGTCACCAGCTCTTAAGATTGGTAATGCTGTAGTTCAGCCTAGCAAAGGCTGAACATGCAAGTCTGTTGGGAAACACCCCAAATCTGCTGCGAGATGACGAGTCTCTTCCATTTTTAAGTAACTACAAGGTACAAATAAACTTACTTGGAAACCTCGTGGGCCCACCACGCTGCAGTAGTGAAGTTCTTTTGCTCAAGATTTCCTTTGCAAAATGCATTCGGAGTCAGTAAGTTGAAATGATGCCGAAACGCTGTCAAGCGTTGCCTCTTTTGCAAGCTGCTGCGGTGCAAGCGCCGCTTTTCCTGCCCGTCTTTGAAGGGAAGCCGGGTGTGCGGGCTGAGCGCCGGGCGTGGAAAAGCCCACACGCAGCCTCCTTTCCGGTACTCCCCACGCGCTGTGGGCACTTCAGAGGGAAACATTCCCCCTGAGGAAGTGTTGGAAGGCGTCTCGGGGCGTGCACAGCCGTGCTGAGGACTGGCTGCGGAGACGCGCGGGAAGAGTATGAACTCTGTGCGAACTCCTCCGCAGCTACCCTGGAGCCGGGCCCTTCACACCACCGGTGTACCTGTGAACAGGTACACTCTATTCTGTTTCCTGCAACACCTGCAGAAGTTAATGTTAGCCCTGTTGTTCTGCATGGAAGGCTCCCTTTTTCCCTTGGAAGATGCCTGCAGGGTGTTTGAAATAAGACGGTTCGCGTGCTGCAGAGGTCAGCAGCCCCTGATAATAAGCAAAGACGATGGGACTGTGGACAGAACTAACCCTACCTCTGCATCCTTCTTATTTTAGCTCGGATTCGGGAACAGGCTCCTACACAAAGCACACGTTGCTGGCACTGGAGCGAGGTTATCTGTAAGGCGCCCAAGTGCTGGGGAGAGTCACGGTGGACACCTCTAACACCATTTTTCCCTTTCCAGTGTGTTCCATGGGAAACAGCACCAGCCGGCTCTACAGCGCGCTTGCCAAGACGCTGAGCAGCAGTGCCGTGTCCCAGCACCAGGACTGCCTGGAGCAGCCGGACTCGGCGCGGCTGGATCCTATAGACCCCAAGGATTTGCTGGAGGAATGTCAGATCGTTCTGCAGAAACGGCCACCCCGGTTTCAGAGGGATTTTGTGGCCCTGAAGAAAAACACTGCCAGTAACCACCGCCCCATTCGGGTCATGCAGTGGAACATCCTTGCCCAAGGTAGGAGCTGCCGCTAAGCCCAAGGTGTGACCTTGAGATCAAATGCAGCAAAGAAAGCGTTTGAACGCGGCTATGCCTATGGATTTAGGCATGCCTGGGATCGGCGGAGCAAAGGGAGAGAGGTGAATTACATGAGGTACGACTGAACGAGGGGTGGGGGATAGATTTTCAGCACTTGCAGTAGTGGCTTGCCTTCTGTTCTATAGGAAAAGAAAAGAGATCTCGCCTTGCTACTGTAATGCCAAAGGTAGCTGTGAATGCCGGTCTGAACTGGACACAGTATATTCAAAAAGCTGTGACCCATCACTTCTAGATAGTTGTTAACCCCCAGAAAAGACTCATCCTTCCCTAAGTTTTATTCTTTGTAAAGCTTCTCTACAGTTTTCTGATCAGTTTGTTGGTGAACTAATCAGGGATTCAGATCTGTTACGGGAATTCTTAATCTTTCATAATAATTTCAGATTATTTTTTTCCCAGACCCCTAAACTCAAGGCTGTAAGTTGACTTATGTGACAGCCTCATCTTAAGATCTTTTTGGGGTGGGAAACCCCCCATGTGGGAACTGCCTTAACACTGTGCAGTTAAGTTGCTTCTACACCACTGCATTTTTTCATAGGCTGAAGCTGTGGCAGCACTTGCCACAGCATAGTGACTTTTGGGAAGAGGGGAGGAAGTCTTTAATCTAACTCGTACCTGTAAAGGGAACTAAATTTTTCTGGAGAGACTTCAGTGTTTTGAGAAGGGGTTCTCCCACCCATTGGCAAACCTGGCACCCTTAAGTCAGCAGCTATTCCTGAAAAACCCATCACCTGCACATAAACAGAGGTAGGCGTGTTTCACAGAGAAAGCGAAGCGTTGCAAAAGCCTCGCGCCGCTTCCCATTATAACCTCTTGCCCTGTGACAGGCTGCAAGCAGCTCTGCTGCTCCCGAGAGCAGAGCCTTGCCTCTGGCCTCTGCGCAGCCGGGAGGAAGACAGCCCGTTTCAGCTATCGGTAACTTCTTTTTTCTCTCCCCCTCCTTGCTAATTTCAGCTCTCGGAGAAGGCAAAGACAACTTTGTCCAGTGCCCCCTGGAAGCTCTGAAATGGGAAGAGAGGAAGTGCCTCATCCTGGAGGAAATTCTTGCGTACAAGCCTGACATCTTGTGCCTGCAAGAAGTCGACCACTACTTTGACACGTTTGAGCCACTCCTCAGCCGACTGGGCTACCAGTGTACTTTCTTCCCGAAGCCGTGGTCCCCGTGCCTAGATGTGGCGCAGAACAACGGGCCGGACGGCTGCGCCTTGTTTTTCCTTAAAGACCGCTTTGAGCTCATCAACAGTGCTAATATCCGGCTAACTGCCATGAAACTGAAGACCAACCAAGTGGCCATAGCTCAGACGCTGAAGTGCAATGAAACTGGAAGACTGTTCTGCATTGCTGTCACTCACCTGAAAGCCCGTACTGGCTGGGAGAGGTTTCGGTCCGCTCAAGGCTGCGATCTTCTCCAGAACCTGAAGAGTATTACCCAAGGTGCGAAGATCCCTCTGATCATCTGCGGGGACTTCAACGCGGAGCCAACTGAGGAGGTCTACAGAGAATTTTCCAACTCGAGCCTCAACTTAAACAGCGCATACAAGCTGCTGAGCCCCGACGGGCAGTCAGAGCCCCCGTACACCACCTGGAAGATCCGGCCCTCGGGAGAGTGCCGGCACACGCTGGATTATATCTGGTATTCCCAGCATGCCTTGAATGTGAACTCAGCCCTTGGCTTGCTGACTGAAGAACAAATTGGGCCCAACAGGCTGCCATCATTCAACTACCCTTCTGATCACCTGTCTCTGGTGTGTGACTTTAGTTTTAATCAAGACCCTGACAGACTGCTGTAAGGTGTTGGAATGCCACCTGGTATTGCAGTGTCTTAACTCACCACTGTTTTATTTTCGAGAAAACTTGTGAAGCTGGAAGCTATTGAAGGATGAGGACATACTGTTGGCTAGACATTGTTTTGGGCACTTGCTTGGAGTTCCACTTGCCGTTCAGCACTTGTTAATCTGGGGCCTCCAAGGGAGGAAGAAAGGAGTCGGTGTTCTCGCTGTGGTGTTCTTGCCATGTCGGGGTTTGAAAACCGGAAGGCGAATGAGCTTTATCCTTTCACTAACCCCCATGTTTAAGGATTTAATCCTTTAGTGAATGTGGAGGCCTTAGTATTTAAATCAAAACACTTGTGTTTGTAGAACAACTTGCCCTGACAGCATGCTAATTTTATTTATTTCATGTTAAGCTTGTGCAAGTACCAAAGGGAGCGGGGCTCGACTACTCAGATTCTCTTCCATCTCTTTCTGTTGCAATACAGAGGAAGTTTAATGCAGTTTAGACGTCAACGAATCTAAGCTCATGCTGCATTTTTATGTGACTTGAGATGACGATTTCATTAGAAGTGAATGGGTAATAGCGCAGTGTGAGGAAGGCCCCCTCCAGTAACAGCAGGTGAGGAAATAGAGGCTAACTATGTCATATAGCAATATCCTCACTTTTCCAGGTGAATGTGCATGTGTCCGTTACACGCGTACGGCCTGTAGGTATGTATACACAGTGACCATTACCTTCATCTCTTCTGTGCTTCCCTCCAGAGGACGCACCTAACCAGGGAGTATTTCCTCCTCTGCTTCAAGTATTACTTTTCTAAATGGTTTAAATTTGTAGTCTTGTCAATCTTGCCGTTTCAGTAAAGGGCCAATCTTCTTGTTGAAAGACTTTCTTTTAATTTATCTTCAGACTCTAAAGCTACACTGGAACCTGTTAGAAGATAAAATTTATTTATTGAGAGAAGCTGGGGATCCTGCATCTGACTTGAAATCATACAGCAAGTGTTCAGGACCCTCTTTCTGTGGCCCAGGGCAACTCTGGCTAAGCACCTAGGCTGCAACAGAGCTGTTAGTATAGTAACTAACTCTTGTGCATGGAATGGTGCTCATTGGTATGACATAGGTATTGCATATATGGATTGTAAACATGCCCCTATGCTGGAAAATGAGGTAGGGAGAGAGGAGGGAAGAGAGACAACAGCTGGAGCTGAGCTGACATTTAGATAACTGGGAAGGATGACGCAGAGGAAATAAAGCAGTACTTCCATGTAAAATAAGGCCCATAGTAACTCAGATGTTCCAGGTGTTTATTAATAAAAGTCTTTGGGGAAAAAAAAGTAATGTCTCTGCTGCCATCTTTTTCATCTCCCTGTCAGAAGTGGGTGATCTGTCTCAACTAGTGACTGTTTGAGTGTCAGTTTAGTGGTGGTGCTACCCATTCCAGACCTCTCAAGAGGTCTCACTGTTCCAATCTCTCAGGTTGGCACAGCTGCTTTGCTGTTGTGGCAAGTGCTCTTTCTCAAACTTGAAATGCCCAAATTCCCCAACAAGTCTGTAGGTGAGGGAGTTACCTTCAGCAATGTTAAGCTGCTCTCTCCCTGAGCTAAAGATGAAGCCTAGACTGTTACTGTAAATACTACTCTTTCTGGAGTTGTGTGGAGCTACAAACCTGGCCACTACTGTACTTGTGTTGCTGGTAAGTGAAATAGTCTGTCAGCTGGAATTTCCAAATTCCCATGCAAACACACTCCCTTCCAGGCAAATGAATGAAGTGCTGTGCTGCACAGCCATAACACACTCTGGACATGCTCCTGACCCTTGCAGGATGACGGCAATGATCTGCTTCTGAGCAGAGGAACTGAGGCCCCTCTAGCCAGCCTGGGAATGCAGGACTCCTCTAGCAAGCGGGGATTTGAAAGTTCCCAGACAGAATGGATTTTACAACCAAGGAGCCCAACTTCCTTGGTGAATACTCTTACCAGGCAGATGTGACAGGTCAACAACTGCCAGCCAGCGGCCTCCTTCAGCTAGAGCAAATTGCATCCCTGGAAGCCAGAAGGAGTGGCTCCTTTGGGGGAAGATTCTGGGCTAGAGACGAGACCCTCCTAACGCCCCACAGAAAGGCAGACCTTTGACATCCCTGCCACGAGCACTGCGTACCGGCTAGACTGAGGCAGCTTCCTTTTCATGGTGCTGGCTGCCCTTGATTGCTGTCTGAGGGGATGAGAGGCAGTGCTGCTTCTGTAGGGTTCTCTTCTCTTAGGATCATCCCTCAAATGGTCTTTGCAAGGAGGAGAAATAATATAACTGCCCATTAACGGAGGTATCCAAGTCATCTGTAGCTGAACACTTCTAAAAGCAACACCACAACATAGGTCTATAAGATGGTACCTTTAGTAAGTTGAAATCCTTGCTCATCTACCAGAAAAAGTCACACCAGAAGCTAGAGTTTCCATTCAGACCCTTTTGCCAGTTTCTGGAAGAAACTGCACTTTGTGGTAGAAAGCTGTGACTTGAGAGCAAGGATAATACTGTACTCAGAGCTGTATTTTTAGAACAAATTCACACACACCCCCAAAAAAACACCACCAAAATGCCCTTAATTTCCATTTTACTTTTGCATAAACAGCTCCATTTTCCTAAGGACAGCTGAGTGTGTCCATCCATGCGGGACTGTTTGACCACAGCCTGGGCACAGAGCCGTAGCACCGATTATGGCAGGCTTTGTTTACCAGCAGGAACTAAGCTATCGCAGCCACAAAACTCCCACCATCACTCTCACGGGGTGATGCCATGTGGTATCTGGACAATTCTTACACCATTCTACTCAGACCCTTCCTTTCAGCCCTAACTTTCCTACAAAAGAAACCAAACTGTGGAGAAACAGCATGGTTTGTATGGTACTGCCATCACTGCAGAGCTCTTCTGCAGTGGAAAGGGCTGGGATTCTCATTTCACCCCGGACACGTGACAGTAGATGTTCGCTGCCTCATGTCCTTAAAGGGTAATTCTGAAGGCAAGGGGAGGGTGGAATAACTTTGAAAAGGCTGGGGATTCTCCCCATCACAAGGCAATTCTTAGTATTACCGTATGCAAAAAATCACACATCCCTGCTGTAGCACAGCAGCGAACCCCTTCTGCTGCATTTCAATAAAAGGTAGACAAGATGCAGAAATTAACTGGTAACTTCCCAGTCAGCTTCAGCCTTTAATTCCAGTACTTGCTATCAAACATATTTTGCAGACACTCTTTTGGAAAACTTCAGTGAAATATTGCTCTTGCTTTGTTTTATTCAGCAAGAGGCAGGCCTGCAACACTGAAATGCTTTTGCCTTCTATAAATACCAGTACACTAAGTATTTTTCACAGGAAGAAACAGGAAGGTTTTAATTTTTTTTCCTATGTAACAGTATGACTCTTACAGTAAAAATGCCTTCAGAGTTCTTCTTGTGGCTGGCTGCCTTATAAGCACACCAAGGCTAAAAAAAGTATCAAGAGATCCCTTGCTCTGATCTTGAATAAAAGCTGCATTAGCTTGAGCAGCAAGAGTTTTCCCTCACCCGCAAGCTAGCTGAAATAAGAAATGACCCACTTATTTAATTTGCTGAAAGTCAGAAGCTGTTGCAGGCTTATTAAAGCACTATGTCTCATGGAGAGCAATTAGATCAGAAGTAGATAGTGTCACTTGGATCTTCTTCACTTAATGAGCTTAATACCTGCTATTTAAACTGTCTCTGTGAGGCAGAAATGGAATGTAGCTTGTTCTGGCTGTGACAATCTTCACGCATAACTGAGATCCCTGCTGCACGTGTCACAGTGAGTAAGGACTGAGGCTTCAGGCACCTCTCCACTTTCTCATCAACTCTTGACTGCTCATTGATCCTTGATCAGCTCAGATGTAATTCTCCCAAGTCCTTAAGTTGATGAAATCAATTAGCAGAGGATCCCAAGCGCTCAGCCTTCCCTGCAGCATGCTCTACCCAGATCACTCCAGTTGTGTCAAGGCACAGAACCCTTCCCTAAGCAAGATGGCTTTATCCAAGAGAGAGTAACAAAAACAGTGGTCTCTAGGGTGGGATTCCCCTTTCAATTCTTCTTGCCACAACCCAGAAACTTCGATATTCAGATCTTTATTCTGAGTTGCAACTCAGATTTTTTTCCTGCGGATTACACAGCATTACCCTGTCTGCCCTATAACTTACAATAGCAGTTATCTGAAAAATCAAAGTGTTTGTATTTATATTTGTAAAATCAACAATACCACGGCCATATATGTCTCAATGCCTTCTGTATACAGCGTGCTCACTTCACACTAGAGTTTCATTCCACTCACATGTCTAGAAAAGTTACTACTTGCCAAGGATGAGTTAAGCCTGGACTCTTCTACATGAGCCACCATCTTCAGATGTACAAGCTAGTCCCACATTCACACATAAACAAAATAACAGTTTTTTCAACAGGACTGCAAAAGTCTAGGAGTTTCTAGTCTAGGAGCTAGATACTAACTTCAGTGTTTTAGTGTGCCTTTGTCCATTTCAGACATTACAAACCTGACCAAAGCTCCCTCATCCTGAGGTCATGTCCTCCAGTACCACCAGTAAAAACACTTCTTGCCCACATAGTAATTAATTATGTCAGCATAAAGCAGCACATTGAAGAGCAAGCTTGCACAGACCTAGAGAATGATCTGTTTGCAGGTACAGGTGGGAACCTTGCACCTCTGACACCTAGCTGTAGAACTCCCCAGGAGAGAGGCTGCCTCTTGTAAGAAGCATGGCTTGTCACCTAGATTACATACCACCTCTGAAGAAAAAACAGCACTCAGAACAACTCGGAGGAACCACATGCATATAAAGCAATGCTGAGTTGTGCTTAAGCATAGGCTGAAATCACTACCCGACTCTGACAAAAAGCCTGTCTGTACTTCTAGCTAGCAGCTAAATTAAAAAAAAAAAGTGAGGAGTACACAAAGGCATACATGCAAAGGTTAACAAAAAGCATCTTCACTGTTTGAAGCCGGGTTGAGTACCCTTTCCATTTCAGCTACAGCGCATCCTCATGCAGACAGAGATTCTTTCTTGCAGCACTTAACAAACTTCTGATAAATGTCCTCTGGCAGCCAGTAGCGTGTGTGCCGCTTGCCATGTGGCCAGGGGAGAGAGGCAAAGGACCATCACCAGTTCTGTGGCAAGATGCAGCACCAACAGTAACGGCAGCGTCTCGGAGCTCGGCTGCAAGCTGCCTATCTCACCATAGCAGAGCTGTGCGCCTTCGTTCCTTTCATCTTGGCTCTAACTTGAGAAGGAGGTCATCAGCTGGAGATCCTTTTCTATTTCCAGGAAGATAGTTTGTCCTCACTTGACTTCCAGTGTATCTAAATTAGGTGTTGGAAAGGTCTTAACTACAAATACTCCAGACAGACATTTCATGCTCTGAGATCTAGCACCTCTCTTTCACATGCTATCAAACAACAGCCATTTAGAAAAGGATTTCTTACAGAAAAAGACTTACAAATGTGCGTTTAAAAATGCTGTTACTTTTCTCTCTTCTTGTTTTCTAGCTCCAATTTGTTCTACCTGCCTCTCTTCACACTGCTCCATTTCCCATTTCGAGGCACATGAATGCCTCTCAGACCACCAAATTAGCCTATTGCCCAGCTTCCCCCTACTTCCATTTCTGTCCTACCTCTTTCTTAGCAACATAAATCCTTTTCCACCTCCTCCATTTCCTCCTAGGAAGGAGTCTTTGCCCTCTATGCCAGGCCAGAAACACAGCTCACCTGCAAGAATCTTTGCTTCTTCAGGTTAACTGCTGGTGGAAGGGATTGCCGCCTTCTACACCACAGTTTTTTTACCTGCTTCAGCTTGTTCATTCATCTGTTCTTAAACTCCGCTTCCCTGCTTAGAGTATGAAAAAGAATCCCTTTTTCAGAAGACTTCCAAAGTTCCCCACATGCTGGCCTGGCTGTATGGAGCTATTCCCACATTTCTTACCAGCCGAAGGGAGGATAATGAGGCTTACTGCTAGGGACTCTAGACATAACTGTTTTTTCAGTATTAAAAGTTAAAGGGGAAAAATAAACTTCAATGTGAAGTATTTAATTCTGGTCTCCTTTATCGTTACTGAAGACCTCAGTTCTAGATTTCTGTTAAATGAAGTACTTAGATGGTCAAATAGACTTAAATTATTTCAAGATTACCCAAGTTCCTGCTCTGAAGACTTTCCAGGGCATCTCACTAGTAACTGAGGGTGCCACTGGGCACCTGGCTACTCACAGCTGATGTGCTGCTTCTCTAGCAACTGTTGTAGGGCCACTGTGGTCCCCATGAAAACAGGGTAACCTACCCTGCATCTATTTTAAGCCAAACTCTTCCACATGGACTGCAACTATGGAGCAATTTGTGTACTCTGTGTTCTCACCCGAGCTTTACCCTGTAGTAATGTATTATGATACCCATAACTATAAATGGAAAACAGATTTAGATACTTACTTCATTCAGGAAAAAAAAAAAAATCTACCTGAAGTCATATATTTGTGCTGAAGCCAAAATATTAACAGCTGGAAATATCAACAGCAACGACGTCAAAAGGACCATCAGTGTAACTTAGTTTTTCTCTTTTTCTTCACACTTTCTACCTACTGGTACTTTCTACTTGCCTCTAAGAGGTCGTCAGATTAGTACACTAGAGTAGCCAAGTCTGCTCCCTTCTACCTTTCCTCTGCTGTACAGCCTTAGGAAATTAAGGTGTAGCTGGAGGAATAGTTAGGTAGTTCACAGAGCTCTAGAAGTAATTGATTCTCAGAGTCATTTACGCAAACCTGTCTTCTTTGCATTAAAACAATTGGGAGCACACACAAAGTTATCACCCATCAGCTGGAGGGCAGTAACTTCTTAAGACTACTCAAGTTATTCTACAAGCACTCATGCGATTAGCCACAATACAGGAACACTGCATATGCTCACCATCCTAAAAAAGGGTAAGAGAACTAAACCCCTGTCAGAAGTTACCTCACCAACTACCGCAAGCTTCTCAGATACTTCAACGAAAAATATTTCCATATACTGTGGGGGGGGAGTTGGCCAGCCGTTCGGAGTACCAGAGTAGTGAGGAGTTCCAAACTTCCACACTATATCAGCTATCTTAGGCTGAATGCCTGGAAGATTTCAAATAAGCAGAAAAAAAGGGTTAATAGCTTGAAAGGAAAAAAAAAATAAAAAGCAGACCAAACACCATTAAATTTCGTTTCTATATTTCAGTAAAACCTACTTGAATACACTTTGAAACAAGAGTACAACAAAATAGAATATACTTCAAATGTTGAATATACAAACTATTATAGTTCATTCTGAACACTGGTACTTCCCTCTTAACTTCAACTAAAAAAAATTTACAGGTTTAGAACTACCTGACAAAAGCTCATGCTGGGCGTGACCTTTCAAGTGACAGAGTAGAGCTGAAACTGAAATGTATGCACGGATGTCAAGGCTAAGTGAGAGACACAGGCATGTTACAGCAGAAGGCAGAAAGCCTGCTGTTATTTTGTCCACAATTAAGAAATTTAGACAGACTTTTAACTACCATACAAAATATGTTACATGTAATTCTATAACAATACTGTGCTAGGTACAAGATTTTTAAAAAATTTGTTTTAATAAAAAAAGCTTTACACAAACAAGCCATTAGCTTATTTCAAGAAAGATAACTGAAAATCAGTCTAAGGCTTTCATTTTGAATCTCCTTAAGCTGTATGATACAAAAATCCCTCTAGGTCTCTGTCTTCTTTTAGAAGCTCTTTAATCTTCTCCTTTATTTCACATTCTACAATACCTAGTAGCAGAGTTTTTCACATAGCACCAGTTGAGTACTGTGGGCGCACAGTAGTAATTGCTGGTATGCATATAACATGCATCAAATTTGCCATTTGTAACAACGAGACTTGCCTCTCCCCCTGAAAACTAAAAACCAAGGCAAACCTCTCACATAACTCTCTTTTAGTGTTCCAGGTCTTAGTGTAACTTGGTGACAGGTAACGTAGTGAACTGTTTGGTCCCTTTTCAGTCCCTCTCTTTCCTTCTCCATAGGTTCAGCTGTTTCCCAACTGGAAGAGGCAGTTTTTGTCAGCATATCAATGTGGTTCAACTCCCACTGAAACACGGGAAAATAATTTTTTTTTCCCAGTAAGTCTTCAACATATGCATGTTTATTAACATTTCAAAACTCTCCTTTTCGACTTGGTGAGTGCATCCACTTCCCTCCCCCAATTATGTCAGTATATTCAAAACCGTAACAGTCTAGAAGTCCATGCTGGAAGCAACCTATTCTTCATTTCTCACACGTTATGATTCCTTCTGTTTTCATTGTTACAGGAAGAGCAATAGCTGAGGGTGTGCTAACTACTACTACATGGGTCACAGTCTTGCTTCCGTCTGCCGGCTTCTCTTCTTTTACCAGCTGCAGTGTTTTCACTTCACGTTCCTGTTTTAAAGCCACTGTGTCTGATTTAACTTCTGGACTTTTTATAACTGCACTAATCACCCTGGGAGGAGTCTGGCCGGACGCCTGCTGAGCAGGCACCGATAGTCTCATTACTGGTGTCCCATGAGCTATAGACACTGGGGTTAGTGCTCTAACAGCCAACGGGGTTCCCACGATGTTAATACTTCCGGACCCAGACAGGCCCGTTTTTGTTTGTAACTGACACTGCGTAAGTTGCGTGGCAGGGATTGTAATGATTTTGGCAGGCTGCATTGTGATTTTCTCTCCATTTTCAGCAGAGGTTGGCATCACGGTAGGGATTGTCTGGATTACTACCTTTGGAGTTGTGGCTGTTGTTGGACTTGTGTTGGTTATTAACGGTGAGCCTGCGTTTACTGACTGCACTGCCACGGTTGAGATTTTCTGTCCCAGAGAGGTCATTACAACAGGCACTTGCATTGCCACACGTACAGTCCTGCAAAAGAAAGATGGGTGTGTTTAAACCAAAACACAGGGCACCATTAGAAATGGCAAAAGAGACAGAAAAATCTAGGATTTACAGATTTTTAAGTGGTTCTTTAAAAAAACCAAAAAAACCCGTTTTGCACTTCTAGCAATAGGACTTCGGTAATTTAGCAGCACTCATATCTCTCTTCTCCCTGCTCCCTCTCTCTACATAATTTCAAAATATGCTCGAGGGCAAGCATATTGACAGTTGGCTCTGATCTCATAAACTAGACTTTCATAGTATTTTACCATATCAGAAACGATTTCCAACATCTAAAACATAAACCAAAAAACTCAAAGACAGCTTCCTAACCAAAAAATTAGTTTTTTGGTTACCAAACCCAACCAAAATGACAACCAAAAAAATTGCCTGTCATTAGCAAATGACAAGCCCAAGCCACATTAATACAAACCTGGGAGCTGTCGTTGCTGGGACAGTAGTAGTGGTAGTTGAGGGACGAGATGATGATGTATCATGCACTGGTGAGGCAATATTCACAACTCTGGTGACTGCTTTTTCTGTTCTGGAACAGCTTAACTGAGTGGAATTTTTTCCTCCACGTGCAGAGGTTGCTGCTTTTAAAAGGTTTTCTGCAGATAAAGACACTCTTTTTTTTTTTTCTTTCCAAAGACTTTTCATCTGTAGGCATTGACAAATCTTCATTGCAGGACTCGCTTTTGTCATCATCTATGACAACGATATTTTTTGGCATCTCCTTAAACTGATATACAAGCCTCTGTCCCTCAACTTTTGCAAGGATTCCTCTTTGATAGTAGTATCTGCAAGAAAAGTACAATTAAGTAGTAACCAACATAGTGACAAATTTTTAAAAAAGACTCATTCTGTGCTAACAAGAAAGCCTGAAGTAACCACAGTAAAACCTACACTATGAGAAGGTATGGAAAGAAGCTGGCAGAATATCCTGGCAAAGTAGCTGAAGGATCTAGCTGAAAAAAAAAAAAAAATCCAACCTTTTAAATACATATTTGAGCAATTAAATTGCAAATTAACTGGTAATACAAAAAGCAATAGGAACTGTAAGACTGATGCTTAGCTGTTTAGCTAAGACAGTGAGAGGGCAAAGCTTTTAAAATTTCAGAACTGTTATACTTCTACAGGCAAAATTAAGAATCCGATTTAAAATTATAGTGGATAACTTAAGGACATAAGAGTTTTTACCTCAGAGCCCTTCCCATAGTCTCATAGTTCATGTCAGGTTTGTTTTTGTGTTTTCCCCATAGTTTGGAAACAGCTTTTGAGTCCACAAGTTTAAAGATTCCCTTCTCTCGCTGAGTCCATTTAATATATCGAGGACAGGTATTTTTGTCCTGGAGAAGGTCCAGAAGAAACTCCCATAAATATGTTGTATTTCCTATAATCAGAAAGCATTTAGATATTAGAAACCCACTTTTAAAGATAAAAGAAAGTTCTCCATATATAGGTTAACTTTGTGTGGGCCTGCATTACAAGCAAATGTTACACAGAGGACAGTGTGTAACGTAACCTGCACATATTCATTCATTCATTCTGTTAAATTTAGTAAAGCTTCCACAAATATTTACATTCTGAAAGGAGCTAATCCAAGCAATCTGCTATATAGCACAGGAGCCTCTTCAATCCAGCACCCATTCTCAGTTCTTGAAAAGAAGCGCGCGAGGGCGTTCCAAGTCACTACAACCTACATCTGTTCAGCAGAGGCAGGAACAAGAGCTCAGAATTTTCTTCTCGTATTTGTTTAAACAGGGAATGGAAATGCCAGTGTATTTTATGACACTGGAGGACCAGAGGATATAGGTAAGTAATTTTTAAAAGGCATACAACCTTCAATTGTAATCCATCTCAACTGTGGTAAGTTCGTAATGTAACCTCCTGTCCAGGATCTGGAGCGCTCACACCAGTTGGTGACAGCCCCATGTTCTGACCTTTGTCAACTATAGTTGCAGAGTGACCAACGTCCTTCTAGGTGCAAAGCCAGCCCAACTTTTGGCTACAAGTATTCGTATGTCAGAAATCCCATGTATCTTTCTGTAACTAGGGGGATAGAGAATGAAATCAGCCTACAGAAGAAAAATTTAATGTACTTCTCAGGTATTCAAGAGGAGTGCCGTTTCCACTGGAAGAGCCCCAAGACAGGGTTTATGGCAGTGACTATCAGGATGGCATAAAATATAACATGGGGGTTGTCTGCACTCTGACTATACCATTTCCATCTAAGAAAAGGGGAAGAGAAGCAGAAGAAAAACAACTAAATCGCATTCCAATTTGTACAACTGGAAAAGACTCCTCAAGTTATCTGAGACGGGAGAACTAAGACAGAGCTACAAGAATAACCACCTCAGAACATTAATCCCAATTCTTCACTTGATCACGCTTCCAGGGGGTAACATGGGCCAAATAAAAATATATTTAATATTTCTTTTGTGAAAAAAGGTCACCAATTCCTGAGATTTAGTGGCCCAGCACAGCACTTGTTATGCCATGCTGAAGACAGTTAAAATATATTAAGGCAGGCTGAAGACCACTGTTGCAGACTCCAAGACATTAGCTATCTTTGAAAAACCTCAAAGGGTTAAAAAAAAAAAAAATTTATAGTTTCCATCTTCTGGAAGATGTCCATTTCTCATGGACAGAGAATAAATGTATTTTACCACATACTCCAATAAACAGCAAGTACTGACTGAAGAGCTACCAAAATCCAGCTTCCACTAGATTTCAGAGACATTTGGATAGGAACTATATGAGTGAAGAGTCAACAAAGGGACCCAGGAATCCTGAAATCATCCTAGATTTTAGGGAATTAGTCCCTTTTTTTTTTCCTTAGCTCCTCAGAAATAGAATCTCTGGGTCCACTGCCAAATGCTGTAGGTCTGCAACAGATTGTTTGCAAAAATAAAAGTGGGCTTTAGTATTAGGCAGTAAACAGAGAAATAACTCAAAGTGCCCGATTTTTCTGCAGGAATAGTGCTGCTGATTCAGCATTTTTTTTCCTTTTCCATCATACTCTATGTCGACCCAAATAACAATTTCTTCCACAAGAGGACTTTACCTGTACTACTCAGAAGCCATCTACTACTGCCAGTAAGACCCAGTGATACTTCAGGTAGGCTGTTCTGTCAGCTATAGCTACTATGCATTTAACACAAAAGGCTTATTTTAGGAATGTTTGCTACAATTTTGAAGCATTTTTAAACCCTTTCTCCTTAGAACAAGACTTTCCTAATGCTATGAATCCAAGCTTACAGACTCCTGCAGAAGAGAAAAACATGGCTGTAAGACATATTATCTGAACAGGTTTACATTTGTGCTACTGTTAAGCATCCCTAGGTCCAGCCTGGCCAGACAAACATGTGCTGCACCTTGTTAGGAAGACAGAAGCCTTATTTAACAGCATACAGCTCTCGGCTGCACTCCCAAAAGGGCTCAGGCTAACCAGTACTGTGAGTGGCCACTGAGCTAGAGACGGTTATTACCTATCTTAACTTCAAAACAAGAGCAGATTTTGCACAATGAAAGAAATTTTTGTGGCTAGCCAATTATTACAGCTGCCAGCTACTTACGAATGTTAGCTGTCAGGTCAGAGTAAAAGGCTTAATGGCCAGAAAGTATGTGAATGATATGAGGCATTGTCTGTATCAATGAACGGTCACATTGGTACCAGCACCTATGTGGAGAGACTCAAAAGACAGCTTTGCTCCCTCCAAATGCCTACACTTTAAAAAAGAGTATTTATGCAAATGGAAAACAAAATATGGAAAGAGAAATCATGCCTAAACTGCCAATCCACTATGTGATGACAAAAAAATACTACTATCTCATTTTAGGAAAAGTTTTTAAGAAGTCTCCAGTTCCTCCTGTGTAATAAACTGAAGGGGACAATTAAATCAGATTTACAGCTGCTTCACTTTGCACCAGAAAGTATCAGGAATGCACAAAGGAAGGAGTAACTACACGGACAAGAAGCAATCCCCTTTCCAAATGCGCACAACCAGCTGTCCTCCTTCTCCATGACTTCACTCTGCTGACAGTCCTGAAATATTAGGAATAATTCCTGGTTTTCCAAAAACACACTGCATGTAAAATAGCCTACATTTGCATGTATTTTTTCTTTAAATAAGTAACAAAAAACAAATCCAGTAACAAAAGATTTTGCAGGACATCAACTTAGCCTACATTAAGGAAAAAAAATATTTTACGCCAGTTGTAGCGTAAAATATGGAATGAGACACCTTGTGAGAACAAAAGTACATCATGAGGATCCATAGAAATTAAAAAAAAAAAAAAAAAAACACCACCACAACAAAAACCAAAACAGTACCATCTCCCACTTCATAAAACAAACAGCTATAGAGTGAAATCACCAGTACAGACAAAAACTAGAGGAGACAGAAATAAAGGCATCCTTTCTCAAAGTTATTTGTGCTGCAAACTAGGAACTGGGACACTTTGCAAGTACTACTCAGATAATGGAAAGCTGTAATAGTGACATAAGAATTAGAAAAAAAGCTAAGGCATCTTTATGAATACTCCAAACAAGATGTACTTCTAAGTACAGAGTACAGCGATGCAAAGGTCTGTGATCTTCACTGAGGTACACTGCTACACCCAAATCCGAAGACAGCAATAGCAGACAACGCAGGGAAGTTTAATCACTGTTTGTGCTGGTTTTCATAAGCTAACATCTGCACAACGTCAGTCCCGATCTTCCTCGCCCTACTGGCAAATGTGACGACTCAGGAGCTGTACTCAGATAAGGAATTATGTAAACAGTGGAGATCTGGCTTTCAAACAAATCCCAAAATAACAGTGGAGCTGACCACTGCACACTCCTTTCAGGTAGTATGCTGCCACGGAAGTCGCTAAACTCTGTTTCTCCTAGTCATGGCAACATCTCCAAACAACTTTCAGTGCAGTAAGTGGGGAAGAGATCCACATTTTTCACCTATAACCAGGGAAGAGCTGATACACTGTACGCCAACTCAAACGTAACCTGTGAGCAAATGCCCTAGTCTGTCTCCCTGCTGGGTGAATAGCAGGGGCCTGGAGTCCAAGAAAGGACCCACTTTTTATCAGGGGAAACACTAGGAAAATATGACCCTCCTGCACAAAATCCCTCAGTCAACCAGTAAAGAAACATATCATCATTTGCTTTTCCCCTTAAGCCAAACTGAATTTATTAGTCAAGCAACATATTCCCACTGAAGTTTGTGAATCAACTAAGAAAACATATTTTCAGCCATCACCATTACAAATGCCCATAAGCTGCTTCTATTTGAGAACAAGCCTTTCAGCAGCAGCTTAGCAAACTATGTGTCTGGCAGTAAGTTAACACACCACGCAAAAGACAGCATGAGTCAATAAACACAAAGCAAAGCAAATGAAAAATCAGAAAGCCTATTAACAGCAGAGTGTACTACCGGGCACTTCTAGAGCAGTTCCAGGCATCCCTGTGCTAAATCTTGTACAAACAATTTGAAGACATTGGATAAAATTAAAACTCTTAAGTGAAGTTAGTACAAACTCGTTCACCAAACTTTTCAAGATCTGTGTATTTCCTGTGACAGATACGATACATACACACCATAATTTTAAAGACCCAATAAATGGAAAAATATACCTTTGCCTTCTCTAGGTTTCTTCTTTATACCTAGATCTGGAGACCCATCAGATATAGTCGATTGTTGGGTCTTCGGTTTACGGCCAGCTGCACATAAAACATTTTTTGGCGGGTATTAATCATATGCAGAATAAAAGTATTTTATAGTTTGGCTTTGCTGAAAGAAGCAATTCACATATTTTTTCCCCTGCTTTTTCCTTGCTACAGGTATGGATAAATTTAAATTCTTAGACTACTACTACTGCACACCCAATTTAATTCATCATTTGGTTGCTTATTTCATGGGCAGACTTAACTCAATTTCAGACGAGTTAATGGCAGGTGAGGTAAGCACCAAATGTATAAAGTAAAACTTGACTGTATCTGCATTCTCTTAGTCCCATGTCTGTTTTACCCTGAAATGTATTATTTCTTCTTCTGCTTTGTTTTTGGTATTCTAGTATGTGTGTTGATCAAAGCGTTTGTTTTCATAATAAATTTTACTACTGAAATTATAAACATTTGTTTCCACTTTGCACCTGCCCAAGGTAAGGTGCAAAGGCAAGAGAAGGTAAGAGCTTCCACCCAGCGTGCCAGCGGTGCCGCTCAGGATTCGCATACAGCCGAGCATTAAGATAGCCA